GAAAGCTTGAGGTGCCTCCTTCCTGGCGACAGTCCCTCTCCCTCTCCCTCTCCCTCTCCCTCTCCCCCTCCCCTTCTAATATATATGTTTATATATATGTATATATTTTATAGAAAAACAAAAAAAGGCTAGGGATGTGGCTTAGTGGTAGAACTCTTCAGATTCAATCCCCAGTATCATCAAAAAGGAGAAAAGAAAAAAGGTAGGGGTTAGTGGGGAGTCACTTGATTAGCACTATACTCGGCAACTTTCTCTTGTCTTCTCTGAAAACAGTATTATCATCCACACAGTTGATGCAACAGATAATCTAGGAGTTATCTTTGATTCTGCTCTCCGCCCCCTCACTTCTACCTTCATTTAGCAAGTCTTGTTGGCTCTACCTTCAAATGACATTCCAAGTCTAGCATTATTCATGTCTGCCACTTCACCTATATTACTTCAGTTGTTTTCTACTTGGCCTCTACTTCTACTTTCTACTTTCCCCCTCTTATTTCATTGTAACTAGAGTAATCTTTTCAAATATTATTTATTCTTAGTAATTATCTTGATTATCCACCAAAGGCTTCCCCTCATATTTAGAATAAATTTTAAACTTCTTACCACAGTTTATCAGACTATCATCTGATCTTTTCCTCTCCCACCAACCTCTTCACTTACCTCTCATTACCTCTCTTTTCTACACTAGCCAAACTGACCTCCTAGCTCTTCCTGAAATACAGCTCACTCCTACCTGCCCTGTCAGCTTTTGTACTTGCTATTTTCTCTACCTGAGACACTCTGCAGAGCTTCATATGGCTTATTCTCTCACATTAATTCTCTGTTCAGATATCATCTTTTCTTTCACAAAGCTTATTACATCCAGTCATTCTGTTAGATACCTGTTTTTTTTTTCTTTCTTTTAATAAATATTTAATGAAATACAAATAGAATATAAGGTACAATAGACCTACTTGTTTCTTTATCATCTCTCATCTCTTTTCCACTGAAACAGGCTCCCTAAGGTTAGAGACTTTTCTCTTATTCACCAGTGTATCCCCAGTGTCTGAAATAGTACCTAACACATAACAGATGTATACAAAGATTATTGCATGAATCAATCAACCGTTTTACTGAAACAGCTGTCAGACTTAATAACGAGTTAAATATCTTTCTCTGGCAGAATCTCCCATGACCTCTCTCCAGTACTGGATACTTTTGTAACCCCCACCTTTAATACTGTATGTCTATACAACCAACCCTCTGTATATCCTATAATTGTCAAATACTGCTCCTTTGCATATTGCCTTTTAAATCCATGCCTCCTCTATCTTCTTTGCTGCCTAGTTGAAACCTTTGTTATCTTACTACTTCATTATAGAAACCTCCCAGCATGTCATTTTAAATATGTCTTCCACATTATTGTCAGGCTGACCTCTTTAAAACTATACATATTATTTATCTTGGTATTTCTTGTAACATCTAGCACTTTTTAAAAAATAGTAAGCACTCAGTGAATGTAGAATGAATAGTTCTGTTTCTGGAAAGTAGAACTTGTAGGCTATATAATTATTTTAATGTCTATAATTCTTTATTTCCTGTTTTTAGAAAAGTGGTAGCAATTCTTTGTTGACCATTAAGTGACTATAATTACATCATGTATTATTACAGCAGTTCATAGTAGAGTTTTGTGTTCTGACTTAGTAGAATTAAAGTAATATCTTCTCTATTAAAATGATTCTTTCTTTTCTCTTAAGCTGAAGTCTCCAGGGAATATTGAATCGCTGAGGAATTTGGGAAACGACAAGCCGAAGTTCCCATTCCATGGATCCTTTGGGTGCACCTTCCCAGTTTGTGGATGTGGATACACTACTAAGTTGGGACGACTCATATGAAGATGAATTAAATTCTTCTGATATTACAGCTGAAACATTTCAGGAAGATAGTATTAGGTCACCTTTTCTTTATAATAAGAATATCAATGGAAAAGTGATTCTGTGGTAATTCTTTGATTATATCATATTATACTGTGATTAATACTTTCTCATAATTTCTTCTAAACTCCTTTTAAGTAAGCTCTAGAATTAAAGTGGTTGCCTTACATATACATATACAGCTTTATTGATAAAATTGATGTATAATAAACTGCACATATTTAAAGTTTACAATCAGGCATGGTGGTACACATCTATAATCCCAGTGGCTTGGGAGGCTGAGGCAGAAGGATCATGAGTTCAAAGCCAGCCTCAGCAATATGAAGCACTAAGCAATTCAGTGAGACCCTATCTCTAAATAAAATACAGAACAGGGCTGGGGGTGTGGCTCAGTGGTTAGGTGCCCCCTCAGTTCAATCCCTAGTACCCAAAGATAAATAAACACATAAATAAAGTTTTCAGTTTAATAAGTTTTGACATGTGCATCTGTGAAAATATCACCACAATTAAGATAGCAGATATACCCATCAACTTAAAGAGTTGTTTTTTTGTTCCTTTGTAATCATGCCCATCCCTGTCTGTACACCCTTGCATAGTTAGTGATCTTCCTATCATATTTTAGTTTGCATGTTCTAGAGTTTTGTATAAATGTAACCATGTGTTTTTTGAACTGACTTCTTTCATTCAGCATAATTATTTTTAAGTTTAGGTAGGTCGGCACATATATTAGTATTAGTTAATTGCTTTAAAAACCCTTTATTGAAACACAATTCAATGCCATAAAATTCACCAATTTAAATTACATAATCTAGTGATTTTTAGTATATTTATGGAGTTGTACCACCTTCATCTAGATAGTTTTTTATTAGCCCAAAGCATTCTCTCAGTATCTCAATTTTAAGCAACCACTGATTTACTCTCTACTTATTTTGGACATTTGATAAAGGTGGAATCAATATAATAAGATGTGGGCTTTTTTGTGACTTAGCATACTGTTTTCAATGTAGTACAAATGAGTACCTCATTTCTTTTTTTTGTGGCTGAATAATACTGCAGTGTATGGCTATACATTTTTTGATTAATTTTGGTTAAATTTCAGTTAATTTTTTGAGCCATCCATTTCTTTTTTAATACTGTTCAGTTTGTGGGCTAGCAAAAACATTTTTGAAAAGTGAGCAAAGATAGAATGTTTCAAGATAATAAGAAACTAGATCTCTTAAGCTCCCTCTTCTTCCCCCTTTTGCTTTTTTATTTCCTCAGGAAAGGAGATGTAGCATTACTGAACTGTACAGCCATTGTGAATACCAGCAATGAAAGTCTCACAGATAAGAATCCTGTGTCAGAAAGTATCTTCATGCTTGCAGGGCCTGATTTGAAGGAGGACCTACAGAAACTTAAAGGTGAGTGGTGAGTGAATTGTCTAAGGCATAGTATTGCTTATAAGGAAACATTTATTTTTATTTCCCTCTATCTTGAAGCATGTTTTGTGTTTAAATGAGAAAATTTTATAGAACTAAATAAAAAGGTTTTGAAAGTCTCAAAATATATTAAGCAGGACCCAGAGATTTTACTACCAGTCAAATTTCTCTGTCTTGTCAGTGAATTTTTAAATGATGATCACTATAGCTAATTAGATCTTTGGTAGCAGTTTCCTGGTTATATATTTTCTTGCATTGATGGTTCTTATAAAACAACTATCCTGAACTGAAAATTTTTTTATCATTATTTGATATCAATAAAGAAATTCTTTTTTTTCTTTTATACCGGGGATTGAAACAAGGGGTACTTAACCACTGAGTCACATCTCAGCTCTTTGTTATATTTTATTGTGAGACAGTCTCATTAAGTTTCTTAGGGCCTCGCTAAGTTGCTGAAGCTAGCTTTGAACTTACGATCCTCCTGCTTCAGTCTCCTGAGTCACTGGGATTACAGATGTATGCCACAATGCCCAGCTGAAATTTTCTTACATACATTTTAGATATAGAGCATAGAGCATTACATTTCCAAAATGAAAATTTACTTAGTGATAAAATCAAAGTCTATGGCAAGAGCACATATATTCTCAATTAATTTGTATTTGATGCTTTTGTTTTTACTAAAACATGCTTCTGTAAATATTTCTTTGGAAACAGGAATAGGAGTAGCTGTATTTTTTCAGAAACTCATTTGACCTTGTTTGCATTAATTTCTTTTGGGGTGGGCAAGGGAGTACCAGGAATTGAACTCAGGAGCACTCAACCACTAGACCACATCCTCAGCCCTATTTTGTATTTTATTTAGAGAGAGGGTCTCACTGAGTTGCTTAGTGCCTCGCCATTGCTGAAGCTGCCTTAGAACTCACAATCCTCTTGCCTCAACTTCCTGAGCAGCTGGGATTATAGGCATGCTCCACCACACCTGAGCTGCATTAATTTTTTTAATTGCCAACCTAAAAGCCCTTCTTTAAAAAATATTACTTGAGTCCAACTTGAATACTATGAAATTCTGTCTACCCATTTTATAAAAAGTGTTTTTGAAATACAGCAATAATTATTAAAAAGTAAACAGCAAATCCTACCTACATAAAATCTTGCTTTCCTTGATGTCTATCCTTTAACAGTGACAACTGTTTTTTGATACAGCAACAATATTAAAATTTGAACGGGATTTCTTATAATGTTGGTTCCATGAAAAAAGTAATTTTTAAAAAAAGTAATTGTATTATCTGATCAAGAAACTGAATTTTAACTGTGAAAGCAGAGGATGAAAAAAATCTTAATTAAATGATGAAACACAATGTCATAAAGAACATGTAGAAATTAGAAAGGATATTAAAGATAATATGTTCTTTGCTAAAAGTAACAGAAGCTGATCTGGAATAATTCCTAGCAATATGTGTGTGTACACATACACTTAGAACTAGACTTACAGATAATAAAGAAAATGAGAAAAGTTAATATAGTTACAATATTTAATTTATTGTTCAGGTATACCAATAAAGCCTCAATATTCAACTGAGTGCGTTTGGGAGTCTTTAAGCTGACATTCATATGATAACTCTGCCCTTTATTGCATGACTTAAGACCAATTACTTCACTGCTAAGTCTGAATTTTCTCATTTCTAAAATAGGAATAATAATAGTAGTTTCTACCTCATATAGCAAGATCTTAATTAATATTTGGGAGTGTAAAAATTAACATCATGAAGACTAAATGAAATAATGGATGTTAAAGGCTAGGCGTGTACATCCTAAATGTTCAACAAGCATCATTGTTCCTGTTGGCTGTTAGGTCTCAATTGACTTGTTTAATAAATCAGTGCAAACCTGTTGAGAGGTATCAGTAATGCACTGAAGGGTTGAATACTTAATTCTGTTCCCTTTTTACATTTTTATTAATAAATAAATGATTATAGAATATAACTCAACCAGAATTTGTAGATGAGAGAAAACATCAGTAGATTAACCCATTGATGAAATCAGATCCTCATGATCCAATCACTTCCCAAAAGCCCCATCACTGAACATTAATTACTACACTGGGGACCAAGCTTTCAATACATGAACCGTGGTCCTTACATTTTGATCCTTACATTTGTGCAGTTTGATCCTTACAAATGTGCACTTACCTTTTACCTCAGTAGGACATTCTAGATCCAAACTATAACATATTGCTTCGTATATGAGCTAGAATTTGGAGAGAAACAAGTGAAATTGAAAAGTCACAGCTAATCTTTAATACTCAGATACTCAACTTGTCATTGTACCACTGTTCCTCAGCACTACATGCTGGGCAGAGTTATGGCCCCAGGTAAAGTTATTTAGTGGATTTATATTTATTTTACAAGAATTAAGAATACTTTCAGGACTGTGTTTTAAATGTTTATAGTGATGTTTAAAATTCAAGCTTTAGGATTAGAAAAAATTGGGACTAGAAAGAAAAAGTGAAAGCTGGGGAAGCAGTGTAGCAGGACTTACCATAATTCAGAGTCCAGAGTTTCTGCTAACAATTATTAAAGAAGGAAAAGTGTGATTCCAAGCCAGAATATTCATGACACTTAAAACTTCTCTTGTCTGAGCTCTGATCTGAGATTTCCAGGACTGACTCACCAAACTGAGTGTTCCAGTGTTTCCATGCTTGCTTGCTATTTTTTAAACAAAATAATACATTCCTATTACTTATTTTAATTATAATTTTCTAGTTATGCAAATAGTATTATGTAAATTGTATGCATACAAGCTAAAAATAACTAAAATCTCCACATTTACACCAACAGAGATAACCTCACTAACACTTTAGTGCAGATCCTTCTAGGTTTTTCTACATGTAGGTGTGGGTGTATACATACCTTGTATTTAGTAACCAAAGTAAAATGATTTTATGTATACTGTTCTCAAAATAAGAATTATGTACAATTCATCTTCTTCAGCAAATGAATTCCACCTTTTAATTTCAGAAATTTCTAATTGATCAAAAAATGTCCTCTGCAGCTGCTTTTAATCCAGAGCCAAACTAGTATTCAGTACAGCACCATATATTGCATCTTTTTGTTATGCCCATTAATTTGTATGTGTGTGTTTAATTCAACAGTCCCCTTTTTATGTCACTGACTTGTTGAGTGAACTGGGCCAATTGTTTTCCAAAATATCCTGCCTTTTAGATTTGTCAGATTTACTTGAGGTATCACTTAGTTTGTATATCCTATAAATTGAAATTCATATCTAATGGAGTCAAGCATTTCATAGGTGATGTTGTGTTGTGTACTTAATGTTGGATGATATTAGAAGACATGTAAATCCTGATTGACCTGTTAATGATCCTTCACTAATACTAAAATTGCTATCTGGATTGGGGTGATAGCAGTTTGATCCTTACATTTGTGCACTTACCTTTTACCTGGGTTACTGAAAACTAGTGGACAAAGGACAGTTTAATCTTTCACTTCCACAATAAGAAGTCAACTGGTAATGAAATAAAATCAACACTGTAGTTTCTACATGCACCTGGAAACATAGGTAAATATCATAAGGCACTTAAAAGGTTGAAAGTATTTATCCCTGGAAAATAGGAATTGAGATAGGCAAGAGCAGGGCAGATGTGGCCTTTAGACTCTACGATTGTTCATTTCCCCATCATATAATCACCTGTTGGTTTTAGTACCAAATTGATAATTTTTGTCTGAATCAATACTTCTTATTAAGCCCATGAAGTTTTATTTTCAATCATTTCATCCATGTTTACTACCTGGTATTCTATAAAGTAGAGCTTTTCCTCACTAACCAGTATTATTTGATTACTCTTGAGTTACAATTTGTGTTAAAGAGGATAAATGCTTGGTTCTTTTAATTATCAATTTGAAAAATAAAGGATTAATTTAATAACTGCTTCAAATGATGACAAATGAGTTTTTCCTGGCTTTATCTTAAATTTTGAGTATCATTTTATGCCAACAGCTTTTCATTGATCAACATATATAGTTTTAAAAGACAGTGAAGTTTGTTTTCTGTGTGAACAAAAGCCACTCATTTGCTCTACCCTTGCCTATCTCAATTTCTATTCCCCAGGGATAAATACTTCCAACCCTTTAAATGCCTTATGTTATTTACCTTCTAATTTTCTGTTAAAACCACAGTGTTGATTTATTTCATTATCAGTGGGTTTCTCATTGTGGAAGTGAACGATTAAACTGTCCCTTTTCGTGCCCCCTTTTATGTATACATATAATACAGATTCTCTTCCCCATTACCACCATCTTACCAAATTTTAATGTACACAGTTGTTCAGAACTGATTAGGAAACAGATTAGTATTCTTTTTATACAACTTCTTTTTCCTTTAGGTTATTAATGGATTGATTTTTATGTAAATAATTGTTCATTGTTTATTATTTTAGTTACTTATTATTTATTATTATTGAGCCACTGACTGAACCCCAAATATTCAATACAAGCAGAAACCTCCTCTCAATAAAGTCAAACACTTGAATTTTTCTTTCAGTCCATTTTTGTCTTGACAGGGTCCTTTTTCGAACCCTCCATTCCCTCTCCTCTTTAAACTGCTCTCTATCCCTGCTCCATGCTTACTGTCCTGGAACTGTGTTTACCCTCATCCTAGGAATTCCTTTCTTCTGTTTAATGGATTGAATCCTTCATTTCCTAGATCTCTTGCCCTTTCCTACTTTAATGCACTCCTTCATTTTTGTCAGTAAGTCTGCCAGATTTCTGAGAAGATTGCAATAGAGCAGAATTGCTGAGATCTACCTTCAGACTTAATTGGTAATTTGGCTGGAAATAGAATTCTAATTCGGAAATTATTTTCCTGAATTTTGAAGGCATTTACTCTCTTGTTTTCTATTTTGTCTATTTCTGTTCAGAAATCTTATATGATATTCTTGATTCTTTGTATGTTATCAGTTTCTTTCTGAAAGCTCTGTGATCTCATCTTTATTTTTGACATGCTGAAATTTTACAGTGATGTGCCTTCATTTGGTTTGGGTATTTAGTGGGTTCTTTAAGTTTAAAATGTCATGTCTTTTGGTTCTGAGAAATATCTGCTTTATTTCTGTATTAATTTCTTCTGTGCTCTGTTCTCTGAAGAAATCCTGTTAGATGTTATTTCTTATTTTATCTTCTAGTTTTATTATCCATTATTCCATATTTTCTTTTTGTTAATTCCTGAATAATTCCCTGAACTTCAGTTTTAGCTGTTTCTGTTATCACAGTTTTCAGTTGCTATAAAGGTTATATCAATCCTCTCTCATTTTATGATATTCTTTTTTTATAGGATTCTGTTTTTGATTCAGACATACTGTATCTTCCTTTACCTCTCTGAGAGTAGTATTCATGGAACCAAGATTTAGGGGTTGTTTTTTAAGTTTCCTTTCCTGCTTTATGAATATCTTGGGCATTACTTTGTTTTGTACCCCTTCTGTTTTACTTAGAGGCTGTCCTCACTTCTTTGTTGACCTACCAAAGGCTAAAGGCTAACTAAAAGGCTAATGGGAAGTTTTTGTGCAAGAACGTCTTAATGTGTTCAAGCTGGTTTAACAAAGTATCACAGATGGATGACTCATAAACGGCAGATATTTATTTTTCACCATTTCTAGAGGCTGAAGATCTGAGTTCAGGGTGCCAGCAATTCAGGCTCTGGTGGAGAGCTTTTCTGTATTGAGATTGCGGACTTCTCTTTGCATCTTCGTGTGATGAAAAGAGGAAGCAAGATCTCTGAATACTTTTGAAGGATACAAATTTTATTTATGAGGGCTCGATCCTCATGATCACATCTAATTACCTCCCAAAGACTTCATACTATCACATTAGGGGATAGGGTTTCAACATATGAGTTTTGAGGGTATAGTTACATTGAGTATCACAGTGGACAATGATTATTTTTAAGGAATCTTGAAGCAAATGATAGAGCAGAAGCCATATGGTTTTATTGGGGTACATTCTTCAATTATCACAATCTCTGAGTCCTTTAGGTTAGGCCTCATAATTTCCCAGAAAAGAATGCTCAAGGGATTACAAGCCTGAGTGTTAACTTTTAGAAAACAGGGGCAGAGGCCTTGACGTTTTACTAATAAGTATTACACTTTACATTTCCTCTTTTTAATGTGCTTGAGGTTCTGGAACCTAGAAACTCTCTAGTTTAGCATCTCCAGAGAGTAAACTCTCTCCCTGCTGCTATGTTGGTAACAAAATCATTGCCTTGCTGTACTGTTGGAGGAGAGGGTTTGTTGGAGATTTTACTGATTTTATGCAAACCTCCAACCCTATTGTCTTTTTGGTCCCACTTCAATGCATAGTCTATAGAAGTATGTAGGGCCTCCTCCTTCTGAACCTTTCTACTGTTCTCTGGTAATAACAAGACTAGTAATAGCTACTGCATGCATGCACTTGAAATATATTAACTCAATCCTGTGAAATACTACTAATATCTCCCTTAAATAAGAAATGATGAGTCAAGCACCTGCTCACTGTTAACAATAGAAACATCATGGACTCAGGATTTAAATCACAGCAATCTTGAATCCAATACTGCTTTTCTGTAGAGATCTGCTTTGCTTCATATTGGTTACCCCATTATTAGGTTTCTCTATGTTAAGTCAGTCAGTCCTTCTAGTCTATTGACTCGGCCCGTTAAAAAAATTTTTAATTTATATTTTAGACAGCGAAATGCATTACAGTTCTTATTATTAGAGCTCAAATTTTCATATCTCTGGTTGTATACAAAGTATATTCAAACCAATTCGTGTCTTTATACATGTACTTTGGAAAATTATGTCCATCACATTCCACCATCATTTCTAACTCCATGCCCCCTCCCTTTCCCTCCCATGCCTCTGCCTTATCTAGAGTTCATCTGTTCCTCCCTTGCTCCCTGTCCCTATCCCACTATGAATCAGCCTCCTTATATCAGAGAAAACATTTGGTTATTTGGGATTGGCTAATTTCACTTAGTATTGTCTTCTCTAACTCCATCCATTTACCTGCAAATGCCATGATTTTATTCTCTTTTATTGCTAAATAATATTCCATTATGTATATATGCCACATTTTTTAATCCATTCATCTATTGAAGGACATCTAGGTTGGTTCCACAGTTTAGATATTGTGAATTGTGCTGCTATAAACATTGATGTGAGTGTGTCCCTGTAGTATGCTGTTTTTAAGTCCTTTGAGTATAGACCAAGGAGAGGGATAGCTGGGTCAAATGGTGGTTTCATTTCCAGATCTCCAATGGAATCTCCATACTGCTTTCCATATTGGCTGCACCAATTTGCATTCCCACCAGCAGTGTATGAGTGTACCTTTTTCCCCACATCCTCACCAATACTTATTGTTGTTGGTCTTCATAATAGCTGCCATTCTAATTGGAGTGAGATGGTATCTTAGAGTAGTTTTGATTTTTATTTCTCCAATTGCTAGCGATGATGAACATTTTTTTTCATATATTTGTTAATTGATTGTATATCCCCTTCTGAGAAGTGACTCTTCAGGTCCTTGGCCCATTTATTGGTTGGGTTATTTGGTTTTTTGGTGTTTACCTTTTTGAGTTCTTTATATAACCTAGAGATTAGTGCTCTACCTGATGTGTGAGAGATAAAGATTTGCTCACAAGATGTAGCCCCTCTATTCACCTCACAGAATGTCTCTTTTGCTGAGAAGAAACTTTTTAATTTGAGTCCATCCCATTTATTGATTCTTCATTTTCATTCTTGCACCAAAGGAGTCTTATTAAGGAAGTTGGGGCCTAATCCCACATGATGGAGATTAGGGCCTACTTTTTCTTCTATTAGATGCAGGGTCTCTGGTTGTATATCTAAGTCCTTCATCCATTTTGAGTTGAGTTTTGTGCATGGTGAGATTTTATTGCATATGGATTCTCAGTTTTCCCAGCACCATTTGTTGAATAGGCTATCTTTTCTCCAAAAGGTGCATGTTTTTGGCACCTTTGTCTAATATAAGATAATTATAATTTTTTGGGTTAGTCTCTCTGTCCTCTATTCTGTACCATTGGTCTACCAGCCTATTTTGGTGCCAATACCATGCTGTTTTTGTTATTATTGCTTAAAATTTTGATGATGCTTCTCTGCTTCATGTTCTCTCCATTTCCTTAGTGTTTATACTTATTGTATTACTTCACTATCAGAAGGAACAGAGGTAAATGCTTATTTTTGATCCACATTTTTGACTGAAACTTCTCAAAGTTCTTGTTACTTTCTCTGTTTTATGCTTTGGTTTATTGTTTTCCCTAATACCTCCTGACTTAAGTATATTTCCATTGTTCCCAGGTTGCCGAACAGGCGAAGCAAAATTGACAAAAGGATTTAATCTAGCTGCCCGGTTCATCATTCACACAGTGGGACCTAAGTACAAGAGCCGCTATCGCACAGCAGCTGAGAGTTCCCTGTACAGCTGCTACAGAAATGTACTTCAGCTGGCAAAGTATAGTCTACTCATTTCCTGGACATAGCATGCCATGCAGTTTTAAAAGCCGTGGACTTGAAGATGAACCTAATTATCGAAATCAAACTTTGAAGGACTTTGATAATTTAGGAGGACTTGAAGATAGATCTTTTGAAACAGCAGGATAAATGGGACAAATTTGAGTGACTTGGGAATTTAACCTATTCCCATTTTATTCAGTCTGTACTTGAATTGTGTAGCCCCCAAAGAGAGTGATTAACTTATATATTATTGAATAGTACAATTGGGTTAATTATTACAGTAAATTTGTGAGAAGGTAGGAAAGAAGAAATTGATTTGCATTTTGAAATTAGTTATGAACTGTAACGTATTATAAATGCTTGTAATGCAACTTTTGTGTTTTCTGTTTGATTGCAGAGAGCAGTCAATGTCTTCTGTCGGATTCTGTGTCATCAATTCTGCAAAACGAGGTTATCCTTTAGAGGATGCAACACACATAGCACTTCGTGAGTAATATTGGATACTCTACATAAATCAAGTCTTAAAATATTTTTATCACTGTTTAACTAGTTACAGCCAAAGAAGTTTAGTTGATTAAATGATTGTGGCACCCTAGAAGGAAGTTTTTATTGACAGGTTATGGAGTTCTCAATTTACTTTCTCAGTAACATTTTTATCCATTTGAATAAAAGCCCAGAAAACTCACTTATTAAATTCAAAAGTGATACCAAATTAGGAAATATGACTGATGCTTTGGGTTTGAATCAGATTCAGAATAATCTTAACAGGTAGGCTGCAACAATGAATTCAAAATACTTCATATTTGTATATCACTTTGCAATTTAAACAGTAGCTTTTGAGTGTGCTTTGAAATATAAAACCTTGCATTTAGATTTAAAAGAGAATGGATCCCACCAGGCATAGTGGTGCATACCTGTAATCCCAGCAGCTTGGGAGGCTGAGACAGGAGGATTATGATTTCAAAGCCAGGTTCAGCAAAAGTGAGGCTCTAAGCAACTCATTGAGACCCTGTCTCTAAATAAAATACAAAATAGGGCTGGGGTTGTGGATCAATGGTTGTGTGCCCCTGAGTTCAATTCCCTGTAAGCCCCACCACCACCACCCAAAAAAGAAAGAAAGAAAGAATGGGTCTAATCAATATGAGCCAAAATGTAATATATATGCTATAAAAATATTGTGTTGGCCTCGGGTATAGCTCCATGGTATTACCAGAGCTTGAGATGAAACTAAATTCTCTGCTTCTGGTAGTGGGTAGGGTCTGCTTATGCTGCATGCAGGCCTGGGCAGCTGAGAAAGTCTGTTTTAGTGTTAGCAGCTCCAAGGGTCACAGCTGGTAAAACCAAATTCTTCTCCACTACTATTGAATGGTGTATACTAGCTCTTTAATGGCAGGCTCTGCCCTTTAGTGTTGTAGCAGATGCCAGGAGCTCACCACCAATTTTTTCTTTCCAGTTTCTTGTGTCACACATTCTAAAAAATCCACAGACAAGGAAGAGTGGATGTAAAATACTAGGATTTATTCAAGTGAGAAGAAAAGACACAGCTCTCACAGATCAAAAAGGAACCCAATAGGGGTTGCAACTTTGGTGTGCTTGCCTAGGGTTTTATATAGCTCTTGGGTCAACACTATTAATCCAAATTTATGCTAATCAGGTTTTGAAAAAGTACCAGTGCTAAAGGTCAAAATTTGTGCTCATCGGGTCTTAGAAAGTATCGACCCTATCTATTAGCCTTTGAGTAACTTTCCTGCAATCTTACTTTGGGTCTACCCCACTTTTGATTTACTGGCATTCATCAAACAGGGTTCATCTGGCCATGCTGACTTGTCAGGCTCCATGTGGCCACAGCCAGTGTGGCTTTTTGGAGGGAATTGGTAGAGAGATGTGCACCTTGGGGAGTCATGTTGACTGAGACAAAGACTTGTATTCAGTGGTAGAATGCTTGCTTACTCATGGGATGTAAGACCCTAAGTTTAGTCCATATGCACAAAATACACTGTTTAGCTTCATAGAGTCCATGGTCTTACTGTATTATATGCAGGTTCAGATCACATCTCAAGTTCACTCCTGAATGTCATAGCTCCTGAGACACAGACAAACTAGAGGACAAATAGCTTGAAACCTTAGTGGTATTCTCCTTTTAGGGAATGTGATATCTGTCTTCAAATACCCGAAGAGTTCTCAATGCGCACATATTCTGTGCTATATTTCTTGAGCAATAGTTCTTGGGGGTATGGGGTATATCATAAACTACATTGTGCATCCAGTGAAAGAACTCTGTGGACCCTTTATCCAGAAGAATGTGTATAAGCATAGTATTTACAAGCTATTTCAGGAAGTTTACAGATCCTCATAAGGATTGCACAAGAATGCGTGTGATAGAAAGCAAGATCTAAGACCAAGTTGCAAGGACAGGGGATTTTGGTTCCATTTCAGATAGAACTATCTATAACTGAAGAGTATTTTAGTGACTTTCTTGTCACTGAAAACATGCATGCAGAAGATTCATGATATTTTAGAAAACAATCTTATTTGGGAAAGAAGCTAAATGATCTTTAAGACCCCTTTTATTTCTAGAATTTTAAAATGAGGAGCTCGAAGTCTTATATCCACCACCAAAGCCAAGAAATTATTTATATATATATATATACACACACACACACACACACACACACACACACACACACACACACA